TTTTGTATTTTTTTTTAGTAGAGATGGGGTTTCACCGTGTTAGCCAGGATGGTCTCGATCTTCTGACCTCGTGATCCGCCCATCTCGGCCTCCCAAAGTGCTGGAATTACAGGCTTGAGCAACAAATATTCATTAAATTCCCAACAGACTTTGCTTTATAGCTAATTAGAGGCTTGTGAATGATGATGGTTTCCTTGTTAAATGTCTTTTGCCCTGTTATCTTAATTACCATTTTAACCGGAAATGCAATCTTTTCAACTATGAACACCACGGCCCTTCTCACCTCTGTGCTTACGTATGCCTGGTGGTGTCCATTTTGTAGTCCTGTGTGTGTAACTAGTCTAAACTGACCGTGCTTCTAAAGGATCAGAAGGCTAATCCCATGCCTTCTGCTGATGAGTTCAGTCTTTTTAAAAGGAATTTTAAAACATGGTATTAGAGAAATGTAGAAAACGTACTTCGATGATGGGAGGGGAGGTGGTCGGGGAGGCTTATCTCCCAGGGGACACGTATTCTCTGTTCCTGGTATTTCCTCCCCTAGTGGAGCAGCAGTTCCAAAACCAAATGTCACAAGGGTCCTTTTCACTTTTTAAAATTACTGAGGACCCCAAAGAGATTTGGGTCATGTGAGTTATATCTATCAATGTTTGCCACATTAGAAATTAAAACAATTTGTAAAATATTTCTGCATTTATTTAAAAGTAACGATTGGGCTGGGTGTGGTGGCTCACACCTGTAATCCCAGCCTTTGGGAGGCCGAGGTGGGCGGATCACCTGAGATCAGGAGTTTGAGACCAGCCTGGCCAACATGGTGAAACCTGTCTCTACTGAAAATACAGAAATTAGCCTGGCGTGGTGGCACGCACCTGTAATCCCAGCTACTTGGGAAGCTGAGGCTGGAGAATTGCTTGAACCCAGGAAGCAGAGGTTCAGTAAGCCGAGATCGTGCCATTGCACTCCAGCCTAGGAGACAAGAGTGAAACTCCGTCTTAAAAAAAAAAACAAAAAAAAAAACAGGACTATCTCACACCTTGGCACACCCTCCTGGTATCTGATGTGATGGAGGGGATTATTCCTCATCTCTGCTCCTGAGTTCAGTCTTCTGTAAGGTAGCGTCTTGAGGCCTCTGGAGCACTTCACTGCACACTAATGAATGTCAGGGTAGAAAAGGAAAATCCTATCTTAGTGAACCTGTGGAAATAGTTCAGACCTTGGGCTCCCTTAAGAGGCCCCTAGACGATGCTTTGGGAACCGTGGTGGTAGAACCGTCTCTCCCAGACTCCCTCTGCCCTGACCCCTCTTACTGGTGAGAAACAGACACGTGTAACTCTTCTTTCTTCCTTTGAGGAATAAAAGATACTTGTACATTTTGGTCTGTTTCTTTCATGTCTTCAGTGTTGTAGGGCAAGAAGCCTATCTGGGGAGGCTTTGGTTATTAAGCAATGCTTAGGGCTTGCTGGCATCATCTCAGTCTAGGATTCAGATTAGGAAATCCATTGCTGTGTGAATCTGAATCGCATCCGCCAGGCCAGCTATTATGAGCAATAATGCTGATAACCTCAGTTGGCCTGAATCCTTTGTCTCTAAATTGATTCTAAAGTGAGGCAGGGAAAAGGGGTGCTATTCAACATTAAAACAAGGAAGAAATTCAATAACAACATTCAGTTAATTTGAAAAGATAAAGGAACAGGATTGAAATTTTAACAATGGTCTTCTCAGCTTTGCTTGGCGTAACCTGATCTTATCTCTGGCCAGTGCCCTCAACTGGTGTATTTTAGTGTAAGATATTTTTATGTAAATATGTTAGAAATCACAGAATGTTTTTCCCCCAAAGATTATCATGTAATTGTCACATTTATAATGTTATTTGGGACTGAGCATACGACTTAGTGATTGCTCATTCTGGAAATCAAGAAAGGCTGGAAGAATTGGAAGGAAGGGATGAAAAACTCCATTTTCAGAGAAATAAGAGGCAGATGCAATTCACAGACTCTAAAATGTGCATGAAGCTTACCAAAAGTAGCTAAGCTTGGGCAGTGATAGTATAGGCAGAACTGAGCAGAAGGGCTCAGGCTAACAAAAGCACTTGTCAGGGCCCAGTCTAAAAGATGAGCCCCACATGCCCTGTGCACTGAGAGCCTGAGTCACAGATGTTCAACTCCAGCTTGCAGAGTGCAGAAGTTCCAGGGAGGACCACTGACAGCAAAGGGCTTCCCGGATCCAGTTTTACTCAGAGACATGGGCTGTGGGGTCACCCAGGGATTCACGTACATGCAGGTAGCAGCTGGGGGACAGAGTGCTGGAACTGGGAAGGCTGAAAGCTGCCGTTCCCCCTACCCTGAGGGCCTCTGCAAAACAGACACCCTAGGAAGTCCCACCTCACTCTGAAATGCCTGTTAGAGAAGAAGGTGATGTCACTGCATGGATATTCTCTAAGGAAATTGTGGGAAATGTGTCTGTGAAGCAGGATGGAATCATGACCAGACAGTTAATCATGAATAAAAAAAAAAAAAAACCAGGAGACTCACGAAGCAGTTCTGTAGCAGAAGATCCCAGTGCAGGAATGCCACAAAACAGAAAAGAGATTTTAATGAGGTTGAGTATCCCATATCCCAAATGCTTAGAACTGGAAGTGTTTTCGATTTTGGATTTTTTCAGATTTTGGAATATTTATGTATACATTATGAGATATCTTGGGGCTGGAATACAAGTCTAAATTTGGAATTCATGTATGTTTCACATACACCTTATATACATAACCTGAAGGTAATTTTATATAGTATTTTTAATAATTTTGTGCAGCCCATCACCTGAGGTCAAGTATGGAATTTTCCACTTGTCAGTGCTCAAAAAGTTCCAGAGTTTGGAGGATTCTGGATTTTGGAATTAGGGATGCTCAACCTGTATAACCAAGTGAGACAGCAGGAGACAAAGCCAAGTTGGCAGAAGGAAGGATGGCATCTGCCGGGAGAACCACCACAGAGGCGAAGGTGGGATTGGAAGGGCCCAGGAGAAAACAGATGTTTTGGGAAACACAAAAAAAGGTGATGGAAATAGTACGAATGAGAAAATTAATAAGAATGAAACCATAAGCATGAGTTTAAGAGGAACTAGAAAGAAAATTACAGCTGTAGAGAACAGGGAGAGGGGTTCCAGCATATTTATCATTGGAATCTTCAAGCAGGAAAACAAAACAAAAGGACAGAACAAATATTTAAAGATAATGTTCAGGAAAATTCTGCTCAGGTAAAAATAGATGGAAGCGTACATTGTGAGAGGGCAAATTTTATGCTGGGGAAGGTTGACTGAGAACAGGTCATGAGTGTGCCACATCCTACAGGAATTATTAAACTCTGAAGATGAGGCAAGAACCTGCCAATGGGTAAACAACGTGTCATCTCTTACCAAGGGAAGAGATCAGGGTGGCTTCAGATTTCTCCAAATTCTTCAGATAGTGGAGTCATCCTTCCTTACGGGATCCTCCAGGAAGAAAGGATGGCCTGTAAATTTTATGTCCAGTCAAACTGTCTGGCTGCCAGGCTGCAAACAAACAGTATTGATCATGTGAGAACTCAGGGAATACTTACTGTTCTCATGAGCATTTTTGGCTGGAGAAACAACGTCCATCAGACTGGATGTCAGTGAATCTCTGCAGCATCAGCTGTGTGGCTGAGGGTGGTGGAGCAGTGTGAGCGGAGGGCAGAGGAGAAAAGGTCGGTGGTTAGAGATTTGTTGACTGTCTCACCTGTAATCACAGGGAGGCACTAAGATGTCGTTCACGAAAATCAAGTTGTACAGGAGAGGGATGGAAGGAAGGAGCAAGATGAATGGCAGTTTTATCACAATGTGGAACAGGAAACTAACAACGCGAAGATGTGTTGTATGAGGATTCCAAAGGAGAGGGAATTACGTAGAGTTAAAATTCCAAAAGTAACCCCTAGGACAAAATAGTGCAAGGATTTCTAAGTTTCAGAAGAACTACAGAGAGAATGAAAACTTTTTCAAAAAAAGCTACAAAAACATGTCATAAAGTTAAGACCAAACATGTTGTATCTATACATGTAAACACATAACCTTATACACATAACCTGAAGGCTGGTAAAAGATTTCAGATTGGATCAAAAAGTGAAACCCAACTCGAAGTTGTATGTAAGAAGGACACCTAAAACAGTGATTTACAAAAGTTGAAAATACAAGAATGAAAAGATGTATTAGGCAAAAATAAAAAATAAAGTGGGACAAAAAGCATTAAAGGAAAGCAGCAGCCCACGTTTTCCTGCCATAATGCACATCAGAGTAGGGGCAACTGGAAGAGCAGAGCATCCCAGGAGGGCAAGCAGAGCAGCGGCGAGGGCCTTGCTTGTCATTCCCACAGGAGGCCTCTACTTCACAGGTTCTGTCACAGGGATTTGTTACTGTGGCTTCCTAGAATACAAATTCTACAGTATTTTATTTTAATGCAATTTATTTGCTATTTAATAATGAGTTTTTAAATACAAAATGCTATTTAATAATGAGTTTGGTGATGTTTTTCCTTTTTAATTTCTACATGGAAGGGCTGTTTGATTTTCTGATTGTCTGTTCAGCAAACAACTGCGAGTATGGGCTTAGGCTGTGAAAATATTTGTTAGTGCCCAACCATTCATTCTAGCCTCTTTCTGGTATGCCCTTGTGCTGCAGAGACTGGAAAGCTAAAAGCTCCATTTCAGACTCTTGCAGCCTGGGCTCTGGGGGGAGATATGCTTCCACTAAGTAAATGAATGCCTACAAGACTAGAAGACAGAGTTGCAGGCCGCGGCTGCCTCAGCTCCCTTGTACGAAGGTCTCTTCAGGTTTGCACGGGCAGTGACTGTTTCCTGTACCCGGACTCTGATACAGTGGCTTAATTTAGGATGGCCTGTTAGAAATCTTCATGCATGTGTGTTATATCGCCGTGGTTTGTAATTCCATATTAAATAGATTTATATATTGCTCAGCTTTTTTTTTGTCTTTCCTCTAAGCTATTGCAGCTAATTGCAAAATCCCAGTTAACTTCATTGAGTGGTGTGGCACAAAAGAATTACTTCAACATTTTGGATAAAATCGTTCAAAAGGGTAAGATGATCACTGTATTTTTAATACTCTAAATCTTAATTAGAAATTTGGTGCAACGAGATGGGATTTTTCTTCTATCTTTACCTAGTACACATGCTGTCAAAAACAGTTGTGTAAATAATGTGATAACATCAGAAATACAGGTCATCCCTCTAGTTCCCAGTGTTCTGTTACTGCTGTTTACTTTTTTAAAGTTGCTTTTGCATACAAAGCAATATACTAGGAAAAATAACGAATCCCAGAACTTAAAAAGCTGTTTTACCTTTTCATGGTTAGCTAATCACAGTTCATTTTAGATGTATGCTTCCAAAATTAGCAGGATTGTGACTTACTCACTTAGGCATCAGATAAGCCAGTAATTTTCTTTTTAATTTAATGAGCTTGCCTTGGTAAGTTACTGGCTGTTAGTAAGTGGAATTTTAAATTTTACACCATGACTTTATACAAACATAGGAATATGTGACTCCATATTTAAGCCACTTTAAAGTAGCCACTTTATGATAAGTACAAAAGAAAGTATAAACTGACCATTTTAAAGGCAAAATTGTAGACCCAACTGAAAATTTATCAGATAAAATTTTAAAGTTTTGAAAAATCTCATTAAATTTGTGATATCTCAAAAATGATGTCACTTTTCGGTTGCAGTGAAATTACATCTTTTTTATTGTGCTAAAATACACATAACATAAAATTTACCATTTTAGCAGTTTTTAAGCATCCAGTTCAGTGGCATAAGTACGTGTATATTATTGGGTACCCGTCACAACCATTCATCTCCAGAACCTCTTCATTGTCCCAAAATGAAACTCTTGTCTCCTTAAACACTGAGGCCCCATTCCTCCTCCCTGCCAGCCCCTGGTAATTATCATTCTACTTTCTGTCTCCATGAATTGGACTACTCTAGGTGCCTCATATAAGTGGAGTTATATATTTGTCCTTTTGTAACTAGCTTATTTCACTTTGCATAATGTCTTCAGGGTTCATCCATGCTGACTGTGTGTCAGAATTTCCCTCCTGTTTTAGACTGAGTAATATTCTATTCATGTATAGATCACACGTTGTTTGTTCATCTATCGGTGGACATTTGGGTTGTGAAACCAGATTGTTTTTTAAAGTGTTGCTTGACTGTGTCAATCCATAGTTTTATTTTTATTTATTCCAGTTCTTGATGACCACCACAATCCTCGCTTAATCAAAGATCTTCTGCAAGACCTAAGCTCTACCCTCTGCATTCTTATTAGAGGAGTAGGGAAGTCTGTATTAGTGGGAAACATCAATATTTGGATTTGCCGATTAGAAACTATTCTCGCCTGGCAACAACAGCTACAGGATCTTCAGATGACTAAGGTATAAATATATCGGCATAAGAGTTACTACACTCTTTGTGTTACAAAAGTTGTTATCTTTTCTAAGCATACATGAAAGACTGCTATAGCTTTTTGAAAGATTTTCTGATGCTTTCATAAGTATTCATTAAATTGTTTTAAAATAGAAAAGGACCAAAGACCCCTAATGGCTTATAATTGCTATTGGAAAGGCAGTGGGAATAGCAATCATTAAACCAGGCTGATCCTGTGGGTGATTAGATGTAAACAGATTTACCTTCATGGGAAATTGAATATTTCAGTTATTAGAATAACATTCACTAAATTAAGGCTAAATTGTATTGCCAGTAATTCTCTATTTATTTAGTTGTTGCTTCTCCCAAGTTAGTAATTTTTTGTCTTCTTCCTTGCTATCTTTTTTGGGGATGTGTTTATAGTTCTTGGCAACAATGAACAAGGCCAAAAGAAGGTGCAAATCACATCAGTTGTGTTTGATATTTTTTCTTAATTCTGGTAACTAGTTTCAACAAGAAAAATGTTAACACCATTGCCCCAGGTATTTACATAGTGTTTTATTTAACTCTAGTACTAATAAGAAAAAGAATAAACTGAAGATGTATCTTAGTGGTGTGACTTATGTCGCCTTAGTGGTATAAATGATTCTGCAGATTGTACTGGTAGGGTCATAGTTAGCCTTTTATCATAGCACCCCAGGTTCCACATAAAGGAATGGTTTTCAAGTGCCCTTCAAATGCCTTAACTTTTGGCTGTTTATTTGCCATCTAAATGTGGGACTTACAAAAAGAGTGATGATTGCCTAGTTTTGAGTCTGAAATTATCATTAATAATGTAACATTCAGCGTCGGTAAGAGTTAAGCAAGTTTGTTATAAACGTTGGACCCTGCTCGGTTGTCTTGGTGTGACCCTGTAGTCGTTCAGAGCGTTGCACAGGCTGGCTCTTGGCTGCCTCTTTTACTGCGTTCCCCCATGCATAGGTGAGTTGTACTAAAAGTCCGCCTGTAAGACACGCATGGCACAGGCTTGCTGTAGAAGTCCTGACATGAGTGACCAGGTCACATGGCCAAAGTCCCCTTTCTCCTGATGAAATAGATCCCTGGTAGTGATGTCCAGCGGGTGACCTTCTCCTGATGAGATAGATCCCTGGTAGTGATGTCCAGCGGGTGACTTTCTCCTGATGAGATAGATCCCTGGTAATGATGTCCAGCGGGTGACTTTCTCCTGATGAGATAGATCCCTGGTAGTGATGTCCAGCGGGTGACCTTCTCCTGATGAGATAGATCCCTGGTAGTGATGTCCAGCGGGTGACCTTCTTGGGGAGAGAACAGGGTGTGTCCTTGTCCATGGTGGGTTTTCATGGTCAGGATCCCAAGGATGGGGGTGTTCGGGAAAGGCCAGGAAGCAGCCTTTCTGGTCTGGCTGGGAAGTTCCAGGTGGGATTAGTGGCTCTCCATTCTTTGGAGAGAGATGGGGAGCCAGTGGGGAGATGTGGACCAGTGGAGACAACAACAAAGCTCCAAGGATTGGGCCACACCTCACCAAGAGGAGAGAAAGGAGAAAGCAAGGGAGAAGCTTGCATCTTTGACTGGGTGGGCTGAGACAGAGCAGGAAGGCACAGCTGTATGCTGAGCTTCCTTCTGGATCTTCTTTCCGTTCATACTACCTGGGAAGAGGCACGGGCTGAGGGATAACAGAAGTGCATGTGGCCCCAGCTTGGCCCACTCAGGGCTGCCCATAGCCTGTGAAGGAAGACAGTCTGCTTTTGGCCTGGGATGGTTCCCACAGCCCTGGTAGGCAGAGCACACTCCCACGGCAGTACCTCTCTGCCTCAGCACAGAAGGTTAGGTGTTAGCGTAGTGCCATGTTGATCAAGTGGGAAAAATAAGGCACAAGAATGAAATTAATGATTTATCTTTGAGGAATAAGAAAGCACCGATAACACAAAGGTGCCAGTTTTCGTCATGTCCACTCAAATCTTACCATCAAAGACCTTGAACTGGTTTCTTTTGTTTCATTAGTGGTTGCATGCTGCCTGGCATCTCTTCACCTCAGTCCCTGAGTGCTCTCTGAAGCAGGAAACGTGGCATGTGCCTCTGTGAGGATCTTGGCTTCTGGACCCTGTGCCCTGCTTCCAGCCTCGAGGAGGGTCAGGTTCCCTTGTAGGAGTTGGCCAGAGGAGTTTTACCTCTCTGGGAATGTTACTTGAAACCAGTAGAAAGAGCACTTTACCAACTCAGTTAACTGAGCTGCATTTGTGGATGCCGGACTCAGTCAGCCAAATTGGTCTGAGGCTGCTTAAGGTAAAGATCTGGTCTCCTGACCCGCTGGCTGATGCTGGATTGCTACCTCACACTTGTTCATGTGAATTTTAGGTGACTCGAGCAGATGGGGTTAGAACAGAGCAGCTGAGAGCCTTCCCGGATCCCTGACAGTGGAACTTCAAGCACACCGCCTAAAGTTCCGCCATGTCAGCCTCACAGGATACAGGGACCAGCTTTCTCCAGTGCGCTGACAGTCGTCTTTGTCTTCTAGATTATCCCAACAAGAAATACCTTGACACCCCTGGCCAGGCGCAGTGGCCCACACCTGTAATCCCAGCTACTCTGGGAGGCCAAGGCGGGTGGATTGCCTGAGGTCAGGAGTTGGAGACCAGCCTGGCCAACGTGGTGAAACCCTGTCTCTACTAAAAATACAAAAAGTAGCCGGGCGTGGTGGCAGGCACCTGTAGTCCCAGCTACTCGGGAGGCTGAGGCAGGAGAATTGCTAGAACCTGGGAGGTGGAGGTTGCAGTGAGCCGAGATCGTGCCATTGCACTCCAGCGTGGGCAACGAGAGTGAAACTCCATCTCAAAAAAGAAATACCTCGACACCCCTTAAATCTAAATTCTCATAGTCCCAAAAGTAAGCAGAAATTTAGTATATATTATGTTGAAAAGTTCCTAAGAACATCAGAAATTTTTTTCTTGAAAAACAAATATACTTTGCTGTTGAAGCTGCATTTGAAGATATGGCAGTGCTGATGAACTGGAAGTGCTTTCATGTGCACATCTCTGTGACTCAGTCAGAGTGGACACACAGGAACGTGTTCATATGCTTCCTCACCCAGTCAGCACTTCCTGGATGCCCCCATGGGCTTGCTAGGCCCCTTGGAGGTGGGACACATGGATCAGCAGGCGTGGCCTTTAGCGTGGGGTGTCCGAGGGCCCAGGGAGATGAGCCCACGGTGAGTCACAGAACTCAGTGGGTTATAACAGATATGCACACAGGGCTGTTGACATCACATTGGTTCACTAGTGATGTGATGTTTTAGGTGGAGCTTAAAGAATGGGCTGGGTGTGGTGGCTCACACCAGTAGTCCCAGCACTTTGGGAGGCCAAGGCGGGCGGATCACAAGGTCAGGAGATAGAGACCATCCTGGCTAACACAGTGAAACCCCGTCCCTACTAAAAATACAAAAAATTAGCCAGGCGTGGTGGCGGGCACCTGTAGTCCCAGCTACTTGGGAGGCTGAGGCAGGAGAATCGCTTGAACCCAGAAGGCGGAGGTTGCAGTGAATGGAGATCACACCGTTGCACTCCAGCCTGGGCGACAGAGCGAGACTCCATCTCAAAAAAAAAAAAAAAAATGAGGGGAAAGTGTCCAGGTGGTGGCCTGTTGGTCAGTGCTTAATAACTGGCTCTCCAGTGGCAAGAGGTTTGATTTGTAGCATTTGTCACTTTCCCACTATGACTGACTTCAAGCCGCCAACGAAAAGTAAACTGGCTAACAAAATTCCCAGAAGTTGCAGAGCTGGCTGCTGTGAGAAGGTGTGGGAACTTCTGCGTCTAGGGGCTGATAGAGTGTGGTGTGCCAAACGTGTGTACTGCTGGGAAGAAGGTGCAGGGCATTAGGATCAGACTCAGGGCTTTATGGGCATTGCAGAGTGTTTGCTGCTGTCTGCCAAGGGTCACTGAAAAGTCCATGTTTAGAGGTACCCCTTCAGTGCCAGGCAGGGACCAGCCAGGTTGGAGGGAAGCAAACCCTCACTGCATTCATGAGGAATGACAGTTAAATGGGAAGGATGAACTTGGGGATACTTTAGCAAAAGACTAGACTGGTGACTTTGAAGTGGGTGCGAGGGAAAGAAGAATTGAGGGAGACTTCAGTTACTCACCACATAGTGAGGGGATGGGCCTCCCGTGGAGAAGGGCAGAGCAGTTGGAAACACAGACTTGGGACCAGGCAGACTGGGCTCGAGGCTGAACCCTGATCGAAGCTAGACCCCGACCTTGGGCAAGCCAGTCAACTCATCTGTATCTCTTTTTTTTTTTTCTGTGTAAAATAGAATGATAATAGCAACCCAAGTTTCTGTTAGCAGAAGTGCTTCCACAGAGAAACGGGAATTGTTAACAGTCGCATGCAATAGCTGAGACTATCCTGAAGCAAGAGAAGCAGACAGCAGCATCGTTGCTTCCTTCCGTTGCGGTGTAGGTGTGAGAGATTTCATAATGGCAGAGAGCATGTAGCTAATCAGTGGAGGAGGTGTGGCAAAAAACGCAGCAGGATTTCTGACATGTTCAGCAAGACTTTTGTGCCTTGTCACATTTCGAGATTTCGTTTGGATGAGAAGTGCTGGCATTTCTGCTACACCCTCTTGTTATAGCCATTAACAGGGCTGTAAAACTGGACTCTGCCAGAAATCCCAAATGCCGAGTTGTCACACCAGACTCTATAACGACTAATCCAGGATTTTTTTTCTTTGTACTACCTTCATACCACCACTTCATACTCCCTTTAAACTTTGTAATTTTAGCAGCAGAATATTTGTAAACTCCTGTCTGCTACAGAAATTTTTCTCAATAGGAATTAGAATGAAGCACCTGGAAGACATAATTCTTGTGAGAGTGTTAGACTTTTAGTTGGGGATTAATTTACATGCACGTTATCGTTTTATTTTGTTTTGTTTTTGTTTTTGAGATGGGGTTTTGCTCTGTCTCCCAGGCTGGAGGGCAGTGGTTCAATCATAGCTCACTGCAGGCTTTAACTCCTGGGCTCAGGTGATCCTCCCACCTCAGTCTCCTGTGTTGCTGGGATTATAGGTGTGAGCCACCCAGCCTGGCCATTTTCTCTTTTCTATGTGCTCTCTGCCATATGCTAGACAATAAAGATGGAAGGATAGGCTAAGACTTGAATCAAATGTGTCAGACTCATCAGTAACGAACAAAGAAGTTTGCTGAGAGCCTGCCGGCACCATGCTGGCTGCTGGGGAAGTGATGTCTCTTGGACTGTGCAGCTCCATAGCCTACAACACGGTGCAGTGGTGCAGTCCATGGAAGCTTCATGATTATGTCCAGAATGTTAGAGCACGTCACAAACTGTCAGGCAGTGTTGAGGCCCCACTCGTGTCTGGCAGATGCATAGTGTGCTTGATGAGGTGAAGGTGGCTTAGAGTGCGTCACTGGTGGTCCATCCTCATGCTGCCCACTGGGATGCAGGAGAAGCGCCCTGCAGCAGTTTCCATTCTGAAGTCCTAGGAAGTTGCTTCCATCGCGAGGGCATTATAGGGGAGCAGGAGAAGAAAATGGGGTGTCAAGGCACGGGTGCCCCCGTCACCTCTCCCTACACTCCACTGTCCACAGAGGTCAGGCAATTTCAAGAACCAAACTCACGGAATTAGCTCATTCTAGCCAAAAATAGATGGTCACTGTGCTTTGTGTGCAGCAGGAATATAGAAGGGCACAACACATCAGAAGGAAGCTAGCTCTCCCTGTGGCCAAGTACATATATCAACCTATTGGGAACAAAAGAAAAATACAAATCAGAAGCTCGCGGGTGAGCAGACTGAGGTCAGGAACCGAGGCGGGACCAGGTAGCCTCTGTCCCGCCCAAACAGCCGGAACCCCACTGTCAGGAAGAGGTGCTTCTAGTGAGAATGAAGGGAATCATTGAGATACAACTGAGGCCTGAAAAGTCTGAAACAGTATGCACTCAACCCAGGGCTTTCTCAGGTCAACCTCAGAGCAGTTTAATTTTTGAACTGACTGAGCCCACTTCTCGGGGCCAGGGACAGCCACCCTTCCTCAGCCTGGCGCGTGCACACACGTGTATCTTCTGAGGGCAGATGCATTGCATTTACTCTCTGGTGTGCGTGAGGGAGAAATGGTTTGTAAACTTGAAGTCATAGAAATGTAAAGCTGGAAGGTTGGGGGATGTTGGACGGAGGGTGAAAGGTTTCTGTAGTGCAGGAGGAGTCCACTCTAGAGGTTGTCTACACAGCATGATGACTGCAGTTAATAATTATACATCCTTCACTTCAGATTTGCTAAGAGTAGGTCTTAAATGTTCTCACTACAAAAATAAAAGGATTATGACTTGAGGTGACAGACAGCGAGCTGGGCTATGGCCATTGGTTCATAACGCATACTAGCACAGAACACCACGTGCTGCCAGTGTAGACAGAGTCCATTTATCACTTACACCTCAATAAAGGGAAAAAACCCACAAAG